AGAAAAATGTTGCGTCAGCAAGGTCACGTGACTAGTGTCACGCCCCCTGCTTTCTAGAAATATCTTGTACCTTCGTGAATTGTCGGGAGATTACTAGATATAGGGTAGTCTGGTATATATATAAGAGGGTGACAACGTGATGGGATAATAATGTGTGTGTAGACAGTGAGTAATTGATCTGCAGTCAGAGAGTATTATTGAGCACGTTCGTTGTTATAGCGTTTGTCTTAGCGCGATTGTTGAAATTAAGTGTATCGTAAAGTTATATTCGGAAAGAATAAACCAGTTTTATTAAGTAAAGACTTGTGTCGCTAAAGTTTCGTCGGAACGAAGTTACGGAAAGTTAATTAACAAACGGAGACGTAACAATAATTATAAAAGGGTCATTTTGAGCGGATTTTTTTATTTGTTTGTAAGTCTAACATGAGTGCTTTTTAAAATTAAATTTACATGTGTACATTCTTAGCAGTCAATAGTGTTGTTTGAACTGAGTCTTTACTGTTTAAGGTGTTTTTATCCGGACGTTCTGTTAAGGTTTAGTACAATTCCTTGCGATTACCACGGTGAAGAGAGAGTGGCGAATCAAAGAATAGATTGAGCCCCTACCTCATTCAAGAATTATTTCTTTTTATAATTGAAATCAACATCTTGATGAGGAAAAGATAAATTAAAAAATAATTAACATTTTTCAGTTTTCTATTTATAATCTCGCCTTTTACATGTATTTTTCGCGTTAATGTAATAGGCTCTCGGAAGAAAATCAGAATTTGTAGGTAGTTTCAATTTTATGTGCAAAACTAATTATCTAAGAGGTATTGTCTCATCCCCTGGTTGGCTATTTACCTTTGGAGTACGTGCATAGTTAGGCAATGTAGTACTACTGTTACTTTGGTATTGCACTTACGGATGTGGGTAACAGTGACATTGTTACGCAAGTTAATTTGTAAGTTGAACCTGATATACGTTTGATTTAAATCTTGAGATTAAAGCTGAAAGTGAAACTTCTATCTTCAAGTTCTACGCCCCAGCGCAGGACTAAGCTAGTAGCAGTACGAGAACAGGAAATTGACACTGTATTTTAGTAAAATTTTTACTAGGTATGTAAATATAGTATTACTATATAACGAGCTTTTCACACTTGTTTTGTGCAGAAAGAAACTCATTCAATTATATTTCAACCCAGTATAATATACTAACACACAACTTAATTTCAAACTTTTCTAAAATAAAATAGCATTGTATTTCATTATGAGGTCATTTTTTTTATATAAGAACAGGTGATATAAAATACAAAATTACTCCAACCCCAAGTTTAAGTTCAGCTCTGCATATTTCTATTTATTGGGAAAACATGTTATATGATATATATCAACTTTTTAGTTGTATTTACAACAATATTTAAAACTAGTTTCATATGCTACATCATACAAATTGCAATTAGAAAAAGTTCACAAATACATTTTGTGGGATATTGGAAAAACGATAAATAAGGGATTTTATTTCTGTACATAAACACAATGTTTCAAGTGTAGAAATCGTATTCCTAATCTTAAGCTTTTGTTTTCATGTCCAGTGTCAACAGTAGTGATTTATATAAATCTATGAATCATTTGTCGAAAGGGGGATTAGTTAAAGTGAACTCTGCTGCATCAGGGTATCTCAGATTCTTCAGCACACTCACCCGATGTGAATTATAATTATAATTGTGATCACAATGTTTGTGTATAATTATTTTCTTCTACTTTTTACCATTTGTTGAAAATATATATCTTGGTATATGACATTTGTGGAATCCTTTAAAATAACATAGAAAAATCTTTGCACTACATTTGGTAGTGAAAAGTGATACACATTGTCCATTTGTTGATTTTTGCTGAGGTTATATTCTTGACAATTGTTCAGGTAATTTATAATTTTGGTTATACACTGCCTGTTTTTAAATTTCACATATTGTTCAAGATTATCTAGTTCACTACATAGTAACATACACAACACTGTTTGCAGTAGTGTACATAATCTTAACAAAAAGCTATAAAAGTGTATACATGTGACCTTGTTGTATGTAGCCTTGTGTATGTATTGTCTTCAGACAACAACTGCACAACTTGCTTGTTTACAGTGAAAGTAACTAATGACCATTGTGAAAGCAGTTTACAGTTTTGAAACATTATATATCATTAGTTGGAAAAAAATATCTGATATGACTAGTAAAAGCTCAGCAGCAGTTTGTTGGCTGTTCAGAGTAGGCTTCTTTTTCAAACTAGAAGTTTCTAATTCTTAACAACATCACATCTCTTCCAGTCATTTTAAACTTATTTTAATCTAAAATGTCACAGTTCTTGAGCACATGTTGAAGAATATTTAAAATGAAATGAATATTAACAGTACTGTGTTCTTTTATCCTCCTGTGGAGGGGAGGGGGTGTTGTTGGACAGATGTAAGCACCTTCACATGTCAGGAACAAAATTCATAAACTACACAACTTCTGTGGACTAATCCTTTATGTGACTGGTAACAGTTTTTAAGTTTTGTAGAAGATTTAAACACACATTGTAACTTGATTTGTGGAAAGACTTTTAATGACTGTTTTCAGCTTCTTGATCTGAATAGAGTGAATACCATTATACAGGGGAGCTATAAACACTTGCATTTGAAGAATGTCAAAATTCATAACTGTAAGACTAGAAAGGCATTTCAGCATTTTCTCAATAGTGAGTTCAACTAACTGTTTTGGAAAACAATTTCTATAACACTCATTTCAATTTATTCAGTTCTTTATTGAGAAGCTCAGACATGTAATCCTATGAGCACAACCTATGATACATTTAATATTAGATTTTCTTTGAAATAATATGGCACAAAGCTCTCCAAGTGTGAGTTTAGACCAATGTGGGTAGGTTTGTGATAAACTCTAATGTCAGAGTTTCTTTGCTTGCTATATACCAATATGTCCAGAAAAGATAATAGAGTATTGTTGGTGCTCACAAGTAAATTTTATGTTTGCATGCATACTGCTCATATAGTTGATAAACTGTACCACAGTTGTTCACCTTTTAACACCATAAAAATGTAATATATATATATATATATATTTCATAACATTTTTAAGCTAGTAGCTCAATTTCTGAAGGACAGTCACTTAACCAGATTTATTCATGAGAGTATATAAAAACATATTAGCCATGATTGGAGCTAGGCTCGAACCCATACTGCTAATACAAATCATCATTAGACTGAAAGCAGAGTTTTTTAAGTTATAAATTCCATCAAATTATGAGTGTCCATTGATTTAAATCTTTTACAACTTGATTTTGTTCAAAGTAACATTTGCCATGTTTTAGATACAAGGACAACCTTATTGTTATGTCTCTGGTCATTAGTTAATTTTCCGTAAAACTTCTTTCCGAAGAAACTTTAGCGATACAAGTCCTTTCTTAAATAAAACTGGTTTATTCTTTCTGAATACAACTTTGCAATACACTTAATCTCCACAGTCACGCTATAACAAACGCTATAATTCACAACGAATGACACACGAGCTCGACCCAACAGTACGTCTCTATCTCTGTCTACAGTTCAATTACACATTACAAACTGTTACCATCACTTCTTGGCGGCTTATATATACAAGAATACCGCATATCTAGTAAACGCTCAAGGCTTCATGAACCTTCAAGAATATGATGTGTTACTAGCGTCACGTGACCCTCGCTGTCGTAACACTGCCCCTTCCTTAGTATTGTTCATCCCGAACAATAGCCATTTACATTAAACCAATAAACAATTAACAATAACTTAATTAAATGTACAGAATTTACAAACACAAAATTAAAATTCAACAACGTCTCTTAATTTTATGGGACGTATCATCTTCCGTACTGGTCTCCATCTCGTTGGCTTCTGCTTCATGTGGTGATCATCTGCTTCATCAGGAAACGTCCTATCATTGGTGACAGTCACATCAGTGGTAGTAACTTCATCAAGGGCTTCGCTGTTTCCCTTCTTAAAACCGAGTCGAGTGGCTTTGACAGTGGCTTTTTCAGGTGACACGTCTTCAGAAGCGTTGTTTTTT